CTTGGGCGGCGTCCGAATTATCGGAAGGGCTACTCGCGGTATATAACCGTCTTGGGCGGCGTCCGAATCATCGGAAGGGCTACTCGCGGTATATAGCCGTTTCGGGTGGCGTCCGAATTATTTCTTTTTCCTTTCTAAATCACGGAAACAAACAAAACTCACTTATCTCCGAATATCAATCTTAGAATCATGACACATCCAAATTTATTCCTATCGTTATTTCCATTGAAACCTAACAAATGAAACAAAACCGAATTTATCTAGATACAAATCTCTGAGATGATTTAAGTTGTATAAACATGGGTTAAGAGGCTGGCTACACTAAAAAACTCGCACTCTCGTTCTCTCTCACACTCGCGTTCTAGCGTGTAGATTACATTGTATGAAACGATTATATGCTCCTTTATTGTTTTAATTTCTACATGTCTGTTATTATTTCATTGATTTTGATTTTTTTTATAAATATAACTACTTTATAATGTGTGAAATCAATCTAAAGAATTATTCTTTGTTATTCTTCTTTCCGTATAACCCACTCTCCCTTCCTCGTTAAAATCGCCAGGTCCCGTCCTTGGTAAGTGAGATTTGCGTCTCAGACCTAAAAAGGGACCAACGAGCGAGTGTTCGTTAGACAGAGTAAAATCGGCGTACGCCGTTGACCTGTCGACGAATATAAANAAACTCGCTCGACTCTCTCGCAGCAGGACTTCCGTGTCCACTGTAGAGAGAGATATGGAAAACGACGCGTTTACTGTTGCGTCACACCACAGCCCGACCGTATCCATGGGCCAGGACGTAACATCTTTTATTCGCATTTCTTTTGGGATGTCTTTATATATTGTCAAAGTTTATCTATTAAATCTGAAGCAATTCGTATATTTGCAGTAAGTTTTAATATTACAAATAAGGAAGACCGGTGCCAGTTGTGACACAAGGTTAGTTGTCAAACTGCTATTATCTTACTTAGTAATTCGTGGAAAATAGTCTTGAAGTGAACTGAAGATCGCACGTTAGTTCAGTATTGCAAGAAAATTTCAGAAAAGGACATATGTGAAACTATGATTTGTACAAGTGTGGGTTATGCTAAGCCAAAAAAGATTTTTATTAGTGAACAATATAATTGTTAATTTATACTCCGTGAAATTGTTAAAAAAATATATATGCAGAAAGGGCCGATACGGAGTGAAAATAAAGATTATTGTTCATACATCAACACCTAGTATTTCACTCCGTATCGGCCCTCTCTGCATATATATTTTTATTAGTGATTTTCAAGAAGAACAACTAGTTAATTATATATTACGTGCTTCAGATATTAACTGTGATCTTACACCCAAGAAAATCAGAATTGTGGCTTATGTGACAACTAATCTTGAATACGGGGCACGTTGACAAATTTGCACGTGTTTAACAGTAAATAACTTTGTTTGTATAAAGATATACATAAATATTTTTTTTTTCGTAAAGCTAAAAGATGTGACTATTATGTAATGTACTCAATGTTACATAATATTACATAATATAGTGTGCAGTTTGTTATTTTAAATACTATAAATTGCATGTCACAATGTGCCCCGGTCTTTTACATTGTGTTTTAATATTACAAATACATTGCGTTTTAATATTACAACTACAGTGTACGGTAA